TGTGCACTTAACCACTACACCAAACTGGCTATAAAGCAACTTGCCTATACGTAGACCCAATGGAAGTTTTGCCAAACACTATCCCTTTGAGGACAGAATCCTTGTTAGTTGTCTTAGCTTTCTCTGCTCTCCCAGGACCTGAATTTGAATCCTGTTGTACCTGAGCATTAGAAACACTTGCACTAACCTATGAATACTGCTGAACATTTCCAGTGAGAAAAGGGGATGAGATTTTCACTGGTTCCTTCCTGCCTGCAGCACACCTATGACTTCCCTGTTTATGCTGTTCCTGGTGTTCTCCTGTCCCTCAGGAGCAACATTTTAAGAGCACTTGGGACTGCCCAGGCAGGAGGAGGTGAGAAAGTTGTGCTGTGTTGACAGAAATCCCTCTGGGATTTCAGCTGGTTCCATGCCTAAGAGTGAAGGGAGGTCCTTATACTGGCAACTGTAGCAGCAAAGGTTGTCCCAACACAATAACCATTCTTCTATTAGAAATGCCCCTATATAAATCAATGGTGAGACCTCATTTGGAATACTGTGTGCAGTTCTGGGCACCACACCTTAAAAAGGATATTATAGCTTTGGAAAAGTGCAGAAAAGGGCAACTCGAATGATAAAAGGGTTGGGACCTCGTGGGCACTCCATGAAACTGCAGAGCGGTCGGGTTAGAACAGATAAAAGGAAGTACTTCTTCACCCAAAGAGTGATTAACACATGGAATTCACTGCCACAGGAAGTGGTGGCGGCTACAAGCATGGACGGCTTCCAAAGGGAATTAGATAAGCATATAGAGCAGAGGTCCATCAGTGGCTATTAGTCACAAGGTATAGATAGGGTCTCTGGGGCAAGTGATGCTCTGTCTTTTTGGTGCTTGGGGGGGGGGTCAGCAGTGGGAGGGCTTCTAATGTCCTGGCCCCACTGGTGGACCTCCTGATGGCACTGGTATTTCTGGCCATTGTGTGACACAGAGTGTTGGACTGGATGGGCCTTTGGCCTGATCCAACATTGGCATCTCTTATGTTCTTATGTAAAGGAAGGCTCAGGTTACCCCTAGGCCACATTTACTATTACTGAAGGACAGTGTAATTTAATCTGTAATTTTGGTATTTTATCTGATGTCTAACTACTTTAAATCCTTTCCTATATCATGAGCTATTGTTACAAATTCCAGCATGATATTAAAAGTGTATAAAACATCATTTATCTTCCCCTTTCAATCTTGTACCCAGTTTCTTTGGTTTTCCCCCATACTGTAAATCCTTTGCTATTTGTTACTGACCTATACTTAGATGCCCCATGTACCAGATCCTATAATGTTCTGTATTCTTTAATTACTATTTAGCTTTTGTTGCACAAGTAAACGTAATGGCCTCTCTGATCTTTTCTCACACTGCAACGATACCCTGAGTCCAAGTATTTCTTAACTGTGCACGACTTAAGTTCAGTTCTTGAAGGACTGTTTTGACAGACATTTAGACACAAAGACAGTGTCTAGAGGTCACCAGTGCGTGCAGGGATGCCAGAAAGCAGTAAATTAAACTCAAATGGTTTTCATTCTCCAGGGGTTGCAGAGGAGCAACCAAGGTCAGTAACCTCCTAACCCTATTCCCTGTAATTAAAATCCAATCAGGCCATTAGATTGATTCAAAGTGTTTCTCGGTGAGTCCCAGGAGGACTGAGGGACACAAGACACAAGGAAAACGCTTTTTCCTTCCCAGCAGTTGCAAGAACATCGCAAGACAAAAACACTTGATGCATTTGGCAATAGTTTAAGAGACAGGATGGGAGGGAATGAGTTTGAGCTGTTTGACAAATGCTGTTCTCATAAATATAGTTATAAGAGGAAGCACAGTTTGTTGCTGTTTTCTTTTCCAAGCTTTCTGCACAGTTCTCCCATTTCTAGTTGTAAACCAAATTGAAAAACAAAAAACACAACACAACTCCCCAAAAGCTAACCAAAGAAACAAATGAAAAATAACAAACAAATATACCCCCTATTAAAAAGAAAATCCATCACAAGAAGGAGGGGTTTTTAAAATATCAATATCCAAAGACTTTAAAAAATCCCCACCCTCTTTTCCACTCAGAACTTTGCTGACCTGACAGAAAACTGTAATGGAAACAGTATCTTGTTCTGTTATGTGAACAGGGCAGCCATCTTTTTTTATATCATGTGTTTCTTTTTTGAGGAACTGACCCTGTGTTATAGTACAGATCTCCCTGCCTGGGTGCTTACTGGCTATCTCAAGTTTCCATGGGTATCTGCAAATAAACAGAGGTCAGAAAAACAACAGAAGCCTCAAACACTCTCTCTTCACAAAGCAGCAGACCCTCTAGTGGCTGCTCTTGGAAATGTTCTCTACTTGGAACAATGGAGACCTGTGTGTGCAAAATATTTTGTTACGTCTCTTCCCTGGGCCATCTGTGGCTCATTCTTACACAGTACATGATTCCAGACTGACTCTCATGATTATGAGTCAACACCCAGTAAAATCAGGACTGGATTATGTCCCTAACCCACAGCAGTCTGAGAGGCCCCATATGATAAAAATAATTATTCTCACAGGAAAGACACTGGAAATATAAATACAAACACTTTGTTTTTTCTCATATATAGTCCCTACACTGTAGTCCTACAGTGACACCAACTTCCAGGTTTGCACACACCACATGCACACATACATAACTGGATGGTGATGTCGTAGTCTGTAAGGATTCTATTCCTTAGTACAGTGCCCCATCCAGAACACTACTGGTTTTGAGGCCTGGGCAGAAAAGATACTATGGTGCAGGCTCCGGTTACATCTAATTGGAAACTTTAATTGGTACAGAATGCTGCAGCCAGGATGTTGATAGGAGTGGGTCATAAAGGCCATATCACTCCAGTCTTGGCCCATCTACACTGGCTCCCAATTTGCTTCCAGGCACAGTTCAAAGTGCTGCTAGTGACCTTCAAAGCCCTATATAGTTTGGGACCAACATATCTGAACAACCACCTACTCCCTTATGAACCTGTTCAACCACTACTGTAATCTTCAGAGGCCCTGCTTCGGGTGCCCCAATTTCTGTGATTAGGCGGGTGACAACCGAGGAGACAGCCTTCTCAGTCATGGCACCAAAGCTCTGGAACTCCTTCCCCAGGGAAATTAATCTCTCCCCTTCTGTTGCTGTCTTCTACCAGAGGGTGAAGACTTTGAGGAATTTCAGACAGATGACATAATCTGGAAGAGGAACGGTTCCCAAACGGTTTCTGGTCTGTCATTTCAGACAGAACCATTTTAGAACCGGTTCCCTAGCAGAATATATTTGTAATTTCACACACAAATGCTTCTGTCCCGTTTAGGAAACGGGGCTGAAGTGTTTTACCTGTGAAACCGTTATCAAGTAGTCTTCAGTTTCCTCTCCCAGTTCTGATGTGCTTTTTCCCGCCGTTTTTCGCCTGCGCAGGTGATCTCTGGCTTTTTTTTAATAGTGCTATAACAGTATAATGCAACAGCATGGGGAATTTCACATTACCCAGTTTCACGTGG